TTATTAAAAAAATTTTTATTGATATGAGAGAGGAAGGGAGAGGGAGAGAGAGATAGAAACATCAATGATGAAAGAGAATCATTGATTGGCTGCTTCCTACTGGGGATCGAGCCTGCAACCCAGGCATGTGCCCTTTACTGAAATGGAACCTGGGACCCTTCAGTCTGCAGGCCAACATTCTATCCACTTGAGCCAAACCGACTAGGGCAGTGCCACTTTTAATAGTAAATTCACTGCTGCAATATTTAAGAAAATTCATTTGAAGAAGTGAATTTTAAGTAAATTCATTCTAAGGAAAGCTAGTCACTGAAAAAATATCAGGTAGTATATTCAGATGAGCAGTTCTTAGTTGATCTCTAGGAAAAAATTGAAAATGAAAATAGTATGATTTCTCTCAAGAATTTTAGAACTCACCAAATGTAACAAAAGACTTTATGAGATGACATCATGTAGGAAATAAATACCAATTATGCTTATAAAAATTATGTTCACTTGTTTGGGGTATTAGTTTATTTAGCATATTTGTTCATATGTTGATCAAGGTAATTTTTGTGATGGTAGTTTAATACAAAGCAAATAAAAATATTTTATTTTTCCTTGTGTGAAAGAATTGTAAGAAAGATGCTCAAGGGCAATTTCCCACTGACTTGTATTACAGGTTTTTAATACTAAAATCCATTGTTATTTAATGCTTTAGAGCAGGAGGCAGCAAACTTTTTCTGTAAAGAACCAGGCAACAAATATTTTTAGCTTTTCTGGCTCTATGGCCTTTGTCACAACTATTCAATTCCACCATTGTAACATGAAAACAACCATCAACAACACCTAAACAAATGAAGAGACTCTCTATAATAATAAAAGCATAATATGCTAATTAGACCAAACAGCTGAATGACCTTCCGGGTGACCTTCCAGACAAAGCCCAGGGCTGTGGCTCTGAGGGCCGAGCCCCTTGCATGAGTTTCCTGTATGGGGCCTCTAGTATTGAATAAAAGTTTAGCTATGGAGAATAAAATTGGAATTTCACATAATTATCATGTGTCACAAAATAGTCTTCTTTTTTTGATTTTATTTTTCAACCATTTAGAAACATAGCTCACAGGCCACACAAAAACAGGTAGCAGGTCAGATTTGGTAAATGTCTGCACTAGCGCCACCCTATTAATATGCTTATGGGCTGACAAGATAAGCAGTAAAGAGGCAGTAAGTCACCAATGAAAAACAAAAACATGAAGGCCCACTAGAAGTAAGCTCAGCTGCCTTCTGGGATGCTTCAGTGCTAGATACCAGGTCAAAGACAATTAGCTGATGTTGAATTCATTAATTTTCTAATTGAAATATGCAGGTTGGCTGACACATTGAAACAATCTCACCAAAAAAACCCTAAAAGGTCGGTATAACTGTTATCCTCATTTTATAGAATTTACCTTTCTAAAATGCTGTCATTATATATATGATCTATATGGTCTGGAATGGATTTGGGGGTGGTATCTAAATATATATATATATTTAGGTATACCAGACTCATCTTTCTTTTCTCATCCATCCATCCATCCATGCATCCATCCATCATTTTTTAAATTATTCAAGATAAAATAAAGAAAATGTAAAAATTCTACCAACTTAGTGAGTATAGTATCGGTGTTATAACTATGAGCATTATTGTTAGTGTGTATGCCATGAAGCCTGATGAAGCATTGGATGTGTGGTCCTTCTCATACACCCTCCCAAACAGAGTTACTGTCAAGACAGGTCCAGATGGCGGCTTCAGGCTCAGCAAGCGTCCATCACTCAACACCTAATTAAAACACAAAGAAGTTGACTGGGTCTAACTTTAAGTTATACAACCCACAACACACTTTCAAAATCAGTACAACTGGACAAGGGAACAATAAATATGATGGCCAGATTCTGTTCTATCAGAAATATTTGAAATGATACAGAAGAAAAGTTGGAGCCATGGAACTGGCACTGATTCATTTATTATTGAAATGCCTATAATTTATTTACCTGAGGAAACATCCCATAAGTTAGTAGACATAAAACAGTGGATTTGGGAATATATAAGAGAAATCTAGTCCTCTCAGACAAGATAAAGACTCCGTGAAGGATTAGAAGGGATTGGCTGACTGAGGGATTTCAGCTCAATCTCTATCAAGCCTGTCAATCACTCACCACGGCTGCCCAACCTGCCCATTTCCCCAACTCCCCACAGTAGCTGTTTCTACCAGGAGAAAGGAGGGAGAACAGAACTTGCAGGAAAAGCCAGTAGAAAAATGGGGCTGGGCAGCGTGCTTGGGCAAGATGGATTATTTCTAGCCTCTAAAAACACATTAAAAAAAAACACGACTCTACTTTCTTACCAACATCAGCCACTGAAATTCTCTCCTTGGCTTTTTATTCTTTTCTTTTCTCCTATGATCACATGGAACCTTTGCCCACATCATGAGAGGGATTCCTTTTAACTACCCTCGGCCATCGCTGCTCAGTGATGCCAAGGGGCTTTTTTCTGGTGGGATTAGTCCTGAAACTCTTCAAATCTTCTTTCTACTTTTCACAGCCCAGCCTTGTCCCTGCAGTTCCCACAACAGTATGTTTCTTTAATCTTAAGAACACACTAATTATTATATTTAGGCTTTCCAGATAAAAAATGCATCCTGGCCGTGGTTGGAGGTTTTAAATGACGTGGTTGAAGGGGATTGCATGAATTAATCATGCCAAATGCTGGGATCATCTGACTTTACCACAACCCCACCCTGTGAGGTCATTTCTCCCATTTGACTAAGTACTGCCAGCAAGGCATTTACCCTTCAGGAATACAGGTGCTAGACAGGAGTTCTAGTTAAATTAATTTCAGATAAGTTAAAAATAGTAAAAATAGTTTTTAACATGAGAATGTCCCAAATATCACAAGGGACATACTTACATTTTAAAAAACAGATTCCTAACCGGTTTGGCTTGGTGGATAGAGCGTCGGAAAAAAAGTAGGAGGCGGCCTATGGATGATTCTCTCTCATCATTGATGTTTCTCTCTCCCTCTCCCTTCCTTTCTGAAATCAATAAAAGTATTTTTTAAAAATAAAAATAAAACGGAATGGGTCCACAGAGGCCCTGGTGGGTATGGCTCAGTTGGTTGGGCATTGTCCCATTCGACCTATGAACCAGCAGGTCATGGATTGATTCCCAGTCAGGGCACATGCACTGGTTGCAGGCTCGATCCCCAGTGTGAGGTGAGCCTATCAATGAATCTCTCATCATTGATGTTTCTATCTCTCCCTCTCTCTTCCTCTCTGAAATCAATAAAAAAAATATATTTTTAAAAATACAGTCTGCTCAGTGTCTTTCCTTAGCCCTAAGGACAATTTCACCCCTTTCAAATAGAGATTTTTATGATTGTAAGCACTTGGATAGGTTTTGTACTCAAAAAGTGCTTCCTCTTACATGAAATGAGTTGTCAATATTAAGCAAAGATTCTTACCTGAAATTCTCCAGGTGCAAGCTGAATTTCACTCAGCAGCACCTCAGGAAAGACATACTGGGTTCCAAACGTGCCACTGAGGGAGAACATTTCAAACCTGGTGGAGGCAGTTTCAACTGCGTGACCACAGGTGTGTAAGCTCGTTGTTTTACACTTCAGCAGAGTGCAAATCTAGAAAGTAAAGGCAAACCATTAATTCCTAGGCAAGCCAATAGAAACACTCTCCTGACTCTGAAAAAAATGCCCGGGTTCCTTTGTTTGGAAAAATAATATTATTTCCTCAATAGATTAATCCAGTTCATTGCTGAATAGCTAATACAACTAGCAATGGGAAAAAAAAAAAAAGATGTCTTCTTTTGAAGTTAAACAGAAAGCATTTAGGGCAAGTGTGTTAAGATGGGATACAAATAACTTTCTGATAAAGGTAGAATACATGTTTCTTTTTGTTCCCTTGAAATCCTATTAAAACTAACATTAATGTTTTTAAGATATAAGTCTAGAAGGATAGGGGTCCAGGAGGATAGACCATGGCACAATTTTAGAAGCAGGGATGTTAATGCCAAAGTCGTAACTGAGTTAGCTGATCTAAGAACGCCAAGTCCTAAATTGGTAGTGAGGAAAGCCAAGAATCAACCCTGACTACCCTGCAGAATACTCGAGAGATTCCACTCCTGCTGCCTCAGTACCTCAGCAGCTGTTAAAGATGCGGTGGCTAAAGTAAGGAAAATTGGTGGGAAGTTGTTAAAGGTGCCACAGATACTGGGTCCCCACCACAGATGGGCAACTGCCCCTCCCCTATTCCAGTGAAAGACGGGCATTTATTTTCAGAGAGGGTAACGCAGATGACCTTTAGATGGAGGTTTTAAATGACGTGGTTGAAGGGGATTGCATGAATTAATCATGCCAAATGTTGGGATCATCTGACTTTACCACAACCCCACCCTGTGAGGTCATGTCTCCCACTTGACTAAGTACTGCCAGCAAGGCATTTACCCTTCAGGAATACAGGTGCTAGACAGGAGTTCCAGTTAAATTAATTTCAGATAAGTTAAAAGTAGTAAAAATAGTTTTTAACATGAGAATGTCCCACTTTTTTTAAAAAAAAAAACACACAAGATTCCTTGCTTACCTGAACTTTACATTTACTTGGTCATCCTGCATTAGAAGGGTTTTAAAGCTTGAAAAACCTGACCAACCCAGGAGGAAGTCTCTACAGATACTCACCTGAGGGATTCCCCTAACCAAAGGCTGAGTTAAATCACCCTACTGTGCAGCTTGGAAAGGCAAGGGTTACCCACGTGCTCAGAGCTTTCAGTCAGTTTTCAGTAGTCCTAATGTGTCACCCTATCTCTGAAAAAACTACTAAATTGAGAATTTTAAATTCCAAAACCTGTCAGGCACCAGTGGTTTTGTCAAGGGCACACGGCCCAGCAAAATAACAGAGGGCTTTGTTTACTTGACAGTCCTCACACCGAGAAGGGACTTACCACTGCTCTCTCCCGTGGAGCCAAGACTCTGGGGGAGACAGAAAGGCAGGACGAGACTGAGGGGGGAAAGGAAAAGAAAGAGAGAGAGAGAGAGAGAGAGAGAGAGCGCCAATAGATGGTAATCTTGTTTTATAACCAACTTAAAAAATCTATCACAAAAAAAGAAAAAATTATATCTCATACGTTTTGAATTTTAAAAATATGGCAATGTAGTATCATATATGTCCCACATACATAGTGCAATTAATGTCAAAATGTCACAGAATATATGGTAATATTTATATGTCAATAAATTTTCTACAAAATAACTTGTTCAATACCATTTTCCCTCCTTTCTCCAGTACCTTGGAACACTGATGTCCTATATTTTCAAACTTTTCTGTTGCTCTTTCCTTTAGACCTAATAATAATCAAGGTTCTCTCATCTTATGGAGAAACAAAGACCAAAAACAGCATTTGTGGCCAGTTTCTGTCTAGTTCTTGTCTCATTTCTCTTCCTCCTGTCTCAGACAAGGGTTTTGAAAAGGGCCCCACCAGCGTGGCTCAGTGGTTGAGCGTCAACCTATGAACCAGGAGGTCATGGCACATGCCTGGATTGCAGGCTTGGTCTCCAGTAGGGGGCATGTAGGAGGGAGCCAATCAGTGTTTCTATCTCTCTCTCTTTCTCCCTTCTTCTCTGAAATCAATTAAAATATTTTTGTTAAAAAGAAAAGAGATGAACCAGCAAGTAGTTGGTTACGTGCTTGAGAAGTGGGTCAAGCACAGATGTAACTGGATAAACGTCTTCATTGTTAGGACCTTGAGGTCAGGAGTCACCTGGAAATGTTTGTCAAGGATGGAACCTATGAACCAGGAGGTCATGGCACATGCCTGGATTGCAGGCTTGGTCTCCAGTAGGGGGCATGTAGGAGGGAGCCAATCAGTGTTTCTATCTCTCTCTCTTTCTCCCTTCTTCTCTGAAATCAATTAAAATATGTGTACTTTAAAAAAGAGTTTTGAAGAGAAAACCAGTCACTCATTCTTGCAAAATTTTTACTTCCCTTCAACTATTCAACCTACTATAATTTGTCCTTCACTGTGTCATTATAAGCCTAGGAAATTCTACCAAAATTGCACTTATTTATGTCAGTAATGTTAAACATATTGCATAACACACTTCACAATTTCCTCCTCCTAGGTCTCTACTTCCTTCCTGTCCATGTTTGTTCTCTTTTTAAGTTTTCCTTTATTTTTAAATCCTATTTGCAGGTCCTAATTCCCTATCCATTTACTGCTCAAACACTGGAGCTCTGAAGGTTCCATCCCTGGACCATGGTTCTTTACAGTCTATGTAGTCACCTTTTCACACCATTCACCCTGTGGGTTTAACCAAGACCTTTATCCTGCTGATTCTCAAAACAATAGTCCTAAATACAGTGTCTCCCATAAGCATCAGACCCATATATTCAACAACCTCATGGATGGCCCCAGCTGAATGTACCCTAAGTACTCCAAAACCAGCATGGCCCAAGCAAAACTGAGCAGTGCCCACTGCTACCCAATTTGCTCCTCTCCATGCATTCTGTTCTGTCAGAGAATCACATTCAACCAGCCACTCTTGCCAGAACCTGGCACATTCTAGACCAGTGGTTCTCAACCTTCCTAATGCCGCCACCCTTTAATACAGTTCCTCATGTTGTGGTGACCCCCAACCATAAAATTATTTTCATTGCTACTTCATAACTATAATTTTGCTACTGTTATGAATCGTAATGTAAATATCTGATATGCAGGATGCATTTTCATTGTTACAAATTGAACATAATTAAAGCATAGTGATTAATCACAAAAAAATGG